GGAGCTGGAATTAAGATTTGGGTGCTAACAGGGGACAGGATGGAAACTGCAATTAATATAGCTTATGGTAAGTATTTAATGGGAGATTCTATTTTACAGTGATTTTGCTTGGAACTGTGTGTTCATTCCTCCTATTGTTCAGGATCTCTTCATTTGCCTTTTGTTTTACTAACGCTGCAGCATGCAACTTACTAAACAATGAGATGAAACAATTCATTATCAGCTCTGAAATAGATGCGATTAGAGCAGTTGAAGAAAGGGTAAGCATTTAGTACTAGTCTTGTTTTTAGATGTTTTTAATTTAAATTTACTATAATGCAAACTATTTAATGTATTCATAATTATTCTTAATTTAATGTCTATTATCAGGGAGACCAAGTTGAAATTGCATGCATTATCAAGGAGGAAGTTAAAAAGCAACTGAAGAAGTGCCTTGGTGAGGCACAGCAATATTTTCAGTCTCTGGACCAAAATTAGCACTTATTATAGATGGAAAGTGTCTGATGTATGCTTTAGACCTAAGTTTACGGTTAATGCTCCTCACTTTGAGCTTGAATTGTTCCTCAGTTGTTTGCTGCAGAGTCTCCCCTTTACAGAAAGCACAGGTAGGTTCCTGATGGCAACTGAACTGAAACATTATTAAATTAACTTTCATTAGAGTGTCTGGATAGAAGGTTTGTGTGCAAAAAATAAAAAGGTTAATGCAGTAAATTGATGACAATGCCAATGCCCTGACGTTTTTCTCAAGATGCTTGGATAATATTACCGGAATTGTTATGGTGTACTATTTTGATCAAAGTTTTGCAATGTTGAGAGCTTTGGACGATTGGTATTTTATTTGTCAAAACTTTATCAAACTGAACAGTGCTTTTATAGTGGTTGGTATTTGAGCGACTCTTTGTTAAAACTATTTTCTCCCAGACTACTTGGATTATTTTAATGAGCTTTCTTTGAGTGCTGCAGTTCATAAGAAACTATTGTTCAGAATTTCAGTTTTTTTAACGTAAAAAATTTGTATTTTCAAACCATTGGAAGGAGAGAGGAAAGGTGGTTAAATGTTTGCAGTTTTAAAAGTAACATTTAAAATTACTTTCATCCATTTGCAGGTAACAAGTCTGGTGAAGAAAGGTGCATGTAAAATTACACTTAGTATTGGTGATGGTGCCAATGATGTTTGCATGATTCAAGCTGCTCATATTGGTGTTGGGATTAGTGGGTTTGAGGGGACGCAAGCAGTTATGGCTAGTGATTTTGCAATTGCCCAGTTTTGCTTTCTTAAAGATTTGTTCCTTGTGCATGGACGTCGGTCTTATCTTAGATTATGCAAGGTTTGACTTTTCTATTCCTTGAGGGACATTTTAACATTTTTGGTTGGTGATATGCATGAGCATTCATGTTATCTTTAGATATGCAAGGTTAGACTTTTTTCTGTCCTTCAAAGCATTTTAAAAATTTCTGGTTGGTGATATTCATGGCACCTCCTTTTGCAGGTTGTGATGTATTTCTTTTCCAAGAATCTTACATTCACTTTGACTCAATTTTGGTTCACCTTCAATACTGGATTTTCTGGTCAAAGATTCTATGATGATTGGTTCCAGTCATAGTGTAATGTCATATTCACTGCCCTACTGGTGATTATTGTTGGGCTTTTTGACAAGGTACTCCAATCTTTCCATTTTATTCCAGATAGAATCTACCTGTTCTATGCTTGATTTGTGCAAGACCTTGTTTGTTATCCAGGATGTCAGTTCATCCCTTTCAAAGAAGTACCCTGAATTATACAAGGAGGGAATAAGAAATATGTTTTTCAAGTGGAGAGTTGTTGCAATTTGGGCTTCTTTGCTGTCTATCAATCTCTAGTCTTCTACTTTGTAACTGTTTCCAGTTCTACAAGTCAAGGTTCTTCTGGTAAAATGTTTGGTCTTTGGGATGTCAGCACAATGGCCTTCACATGTGTAGTAGTAACTGTGAATTTGCGTCTTCTTATGATCTTTTGTAATTCAATCACAAGGCGGCATTAAACTAGTGTTGGAGGAAGCATTATTGGGTGGTTCTTATTTATTTTTATATATTCTGGTATTATGACTCCGTATGATCCACAGGTAAGTAATGAATCATGTTTCATTATCTTTCTCTCTTCATTTGGATTGGAAGAATGCAACTTCTTGACTCTATTGGCTACTGCAGGAGAACATCTTTTGGGTCATTGTCTTGATGAGTACATTCTATTTCTACGTCACTCTTCTTCTTGTTCCTGTTGCAGCACTTCTGGGGGATTTCCTTTACCTAGGGTAAGAATGAGAAATAACTGTAAGTACTGCTTTGCTGCAATATATTTGATGCATGGAAAAGCTTTCTCATGCTCATTAACAGTGTGAGGGCTGTTAGGTAGGAATAGGTGTCCAACCATGAAAGTAAGTCATTGTTCTGGTTAACTGGTTCTGGTTTATTCCCAACCTGAGCAACCAAATACGAGCTACTTGAAACCTAAAATATGCTAAGTGGTCAAACCATGTGCCTAGTTTCAAGTGTGTTAGAGTGAGCTGCTGAAATTGAAGAAGCGTATGATCATAGCATAATTTTTGGTAGTTTCATGCTTGGAGGTTTTGACATTATGCGAAGATTTTCGAGGGTTTTCTTTAAGGGGAGTTCTGAAGCAAGTTTCTTATTATAAGTGTACCCCTTTTGATGGCACTAAAGTAACCTAGCCTAGTTTAAATGATACTGGAGTATGTTGAGTGCTTGAGTCCACTGTCAATATGACTATGTTGCCTCTAGTCTTATATCTTTTGAATTGTTTATGATATTCTCATGCTGCATCTGATTAACACCCGAAAAAAAAAATTCAAATGATATACTGTGTGATTGACTTAATCAGGCCAAGGTTCGCATGCAAGGTATTCATCACTTAAGTTTGTTATCTTTCTTTTCTCAAGCACTATTTATTATGAATTTTTTGAAATATTCATTCTTCTTTTTTCTTTTTGACATTTTCCATACTTTCCAGTGTGCAAAGATGGTTCTTCCCCTATGATTATCAGATTGTTCAGGAAATTCACAAGGATGAAGATGATGATATTGGTCGTTCAGATTTTACTGGAAATCGGAAATCAGCTTACACCTGATGAGGCAAGAAGCTATGCTATTTCTCAATTGCCGAAAGAAATATCAAAGCACAGGGGATTGCCTTTGACTCTCCTGGGTAGGAGTCATTTTTCGCTTCACAACTAGGTATACATGCACCACAGAAGGCATGGGATGTTGCTCGGAGAGCTAGCATGAGGTCAAAGCCGCAGACAAACAAAAAGAATTGATTCAGAGGAACATTGTTGTACAATTTTTATTTTTTTTTTGTATCCCCCTTTTTGATAGTCTAACCTTGGACAAAATCTGCAAAATTAGTTAGTCAATTGGCTGTTGTGCTTTGTTTTTATTTTTATTTTTAATTTTTGTTCCATAATCGTTTCTTTTTTTTTTTTTGGTTTAGGAACCAAATCGAGTATTAGGGTTGTACAGCTACACGAACAGACTTGAATGCGAATTTTTTCGTTATCAAATTGTAATATATCAAATATGTCATCCATTGAAACTTGAAATGGCGAAAATATGGAAATAAATAAATAAATAAATAAAAGTCGCCTAGTTCTATGTACTGCAGCTCTTGTTCTGACTGGTACGTTTCCTGAACAAAATGTGTTTAGAAAGCCAACCGTAAAACCAAAAATTTACAATGGCTTGCTTAGGGTAGCTCGCAAAAATATACCGGCAGCTGTAGGTTTTGCCGTCGATTCTGAAGGCCAGAGGAACTGTAGCTTTTGTATCGGTAGCCATGCACAACTGGAGTTTCCAGTAAAATCCATTGATGTTTCGTCAAATTTTTTGGAGAAGTACCATTTTTATGCATGATTTTAAAAAACTTACATTTATCATTTGCGATCTTTTAAAAATAATTTCACTATACATTCTTATGTAAACTAACATTTAAAACAGCTAATGAAATGTCCACGCAAATGGCACATGTTAACTCATTTGACATGTTAGATAGATGGTATGACCAAAAAATGTCAATTGTTAGCTCATTTGATATGTATATTTTCATTAACTGTTTTACTTTTAATGATTGAAGAATGGATTGTGATTGTTTTTAAAGATCATGAATAGAAAATGATATATAAAAAGTCATGGATTGTATGCTCTTACGGTTGAAAATGGCCTCTCATACTGTAAAAGTTGTTTTCAATTTTTGACAAAATATTAGTAAATATTTTCTACTTGGATGCTATATTTAAAGTTTATTTGAGAAAATAATGAGATTAATTCTGTTGAAATTGAAAACAGTGATAAAAATAAAATTAATTATTATAATAATAAGATTAAAATTAATAATGACACATGCATGTGAACGCAAATACAATAAAATTAATTATAATAAAAAAATATTATTAAAAGCATTAAATAAAAATTTATATATAATAGAATTTTAAATTATAAAATAATCATATTTTTATTTCTTAATATAATAATAAATTTTATTATTTTATTAATTTAATATATAATAATATTTATTTTTCATATTAAATTTTTTAAAAAAGTTAATTTATAATTTTTAAATTAAAAAATAAAAAATATAAAGCAAAAGGAAGTATTCTTTGACAAGAAAAAGACTTAAAAGATTCAATTTTTGAAGTGATTCGTAAAATTTCCTACTACAAACAATTAAATAAAACTATAATTAAAAATTAAAAAATATCGTTACATAAATTATTTGTTCAAATATTAAAAAATATTTTTATAATTTATAATATAAATTTTTAAATAAAAATTTTTAATAAAATATTAATAAAATTTTTATCATTAAATAATATTTATCAAATTTAAATTATAAATAATATTTTTAATAATTTTCTTCCATATTATTATATTTTACATTAAATTCTATCAGTTTATTGATTTAAATTTTTTATTAAAGTTATTATCAAATCATTTAAAAAATATTTTTTTACAAATTTTACTTGAATAACTTTATATAAATTTTATCCGTCAGCAGCGCAACTACTGCCTTAAGGAAAAAACAAGAAAAAAAACACCACCAGTTGGCCATTGGAGGAGGGTGTTCCCTCTCCAGTTGTCCAATCCTACCGCGCCTAAGGGAAGCCAAACGGTGGGGCAGTGTGATTGAGGCCAAAAAGTGGCCCTAACCGTGCTGCGGCGACCCATCCGGTGGCTTCCAAATGAGGCTTTCGTCTACCACAACCACCACCAGCGTAGGAACAACCAACTCAACAGCAAAAGAAGAAAAGTGAAGGCAAAAACAAAGTAATTTCTGCTGCTTGGTCGGCATTTTTCTTCCTTAATTTGGACTTGGAGCTCTTCCATCCTTTCTTCCATTTCGTAGCTGGATTGGTGAACTCCATCATCTTGTTCAAGAGAGCTGAAAAACTTTGCTAATCTTTCTGACACAGACTGCTGGCTCTCATCCAGTGATTCTTCATCTCCTTCATAATCATCATCATTCTCAAAAACTAAATAAATCCCAGCCTTCTTCAGCTCTACCCCCTTAACGTATGGCGGGTTTCGCTTTGTCACCTGAATCTTAAAGCCATCATTTAACATAGAAACCAATGGACGATTTGCTGGATATCGACACAAGTGAACATGGTCTTCATTCGTCTTCGGTACCCCCAACAAGTCCAAGGTGGTGGCATGTATAGCTCTGTCTGTGTCACCTTTGAAGATCTGTGCTTCAATGTCCACTACAGCAGGTATTTGATATCTCAACTCATCTGGTATATGATGGTTAAGGGAAACAACTACCGCTATTATCACTTCTTTCAAGTCAAGGTTTTTGTGGCTTGAAAAGGTAACTACATCTTGAGAAAACCAATTTGGAATTTTGCTTCCTGGCATGCTTAGATTTGTAAGTCTCCTGAGATAAACCTGCAATAAAATGTTGCCATACATCAATACTGAGATTCCGGTAGCTATATATTAAAGGGTTAGTATTTCTGAATTATAATAAAATATTGATATTTAAATTTAAAAATTTTTTAATGTAATACTTAAATTATAAATCTATTAACTAATATAATATTAAAATGGCTACTTGTGAACTATATGTTATCGTTTGAAACTAATCACATTAATGGTAAGTACCATATTAATTAAAAAAAATTCATAATTTAAATATCATATAAGAGATTTTTAAAATTTAATAACTAAGTTAAATATTTCTTGATAATTCAAAAAAAGTTTAAGACATTAACCCTATATTAAGAGAGAGATAAAAAAGGAGAAAAGGAAAAACCAACTTTGGAGAGTCTTTTCTTTGCTGAAGCAGAGCATTTAATGCAGTTACTCATGTACAACCTCCTCAAGGACTTCAAGTACTCAAGGCCTGGAACATCCACCAATTTCTCACAGTTTGTAAGGTTTAATGTTTCTAAGCTCTTTAAATTGGAAAGATCAGATATAGTTTCCAATGAAAGACAGTTTGCAAGATTCAATTCCTCCAAACTTGAGGGAAGTGGAGGGAGGGACTCAAGCTTTTCACATTGGGGCAGCCGAAGCTTTTTAAGAAGCGAAAGGCCCCTTAGGCTGGATGGAAGTTTAGAAAAATCATTGCTATCCAGTTGCAGAATCTCTAATGCTGACAACTTCTCAAAATCATCTGGAATTTCACCAGATATTCTCCATGCACGAGCATCAAGTTCTTCTAGCGATGAGAGATTTGAGAAAGACGTTGGCAAGAGTACAAATGACTCGGATTTCTCTTTCTTTGCCATTTTCAGTACCATTAATCTTGAGAGCATGCCGAAGCTTTCTGGTAATTCAGTCACAGCAGTTTCCTCCATAAATAAATGATGCAAAGACTTCAAATTTCCTATTGAGGATGGAAGTTTACAGAGCCTCTTACACTTGTTCAATCTTAAAACAATAAGATTTTCTAACATCCCAATAGACTCTGGCAACTCGGCAATATTAGCGTTGAATATGTTCAAATAAGTAAGATTGAACAGGCTCCCCAACGACTGTGGCAGAGATTCAAGAGAAGTACAATTCCTCATCACAAGCTTCTGGAGTGATTTCAAAGCATCAATCTCATTAGGAAGATCCCTAATTGAAATCCCATCCATGTCAAGTTCCACAAGAGAAGCCAATCCTTGAATTGTATCTGACAATTTGCTCAACAGTTTGCCTCCAACAAATAAGCCTTTCAGATATGATAACGAGCCAAAAGAATTTGGTAACTCAGTGATTGCACTACCCTTAATCAACAAATCTTTCAATAATTTGAGATTGCCAACAGTATCAGGAATTGCTGTGAGTGATTCACAATGAATTAAACTAAGTATTTCAAGGTTCTCCAAGGATCCAATAGAATCAGGCAAGTTTTCTAATGCCGATTGATTAAGATAAAGTTCCTTCAGAGAAACAAGCTTCCCTACGCATCTTGGCAGCTGTTTGATACGCATACAACCACTTAGGCTCAGTTTTTCAAGTTCTTGAAGGCGATAAATAGATACAGGCAGCTTCTCTATGCCAGTTTTATCAACATAAAGTTCTTTGAGTGATTTCATGCTGCCTATGCCCTCTGGTAATTCCTTCAATTTAGAGCAATCGCTGAGGACAAGGGTTTGAAGATTTTTCATCCCCAAGACATCACTTGGAAATTCAACAAGGTTTGAACAGCCCGTCATGTCCAAGTGAAGTAAGGACTTTAAACTACCAACTGATTTGTGAATGTTTATCAGTTTCACACAATTTCGAAGAACAATCTTTTGCAGCTTTTTATGTCCAGATAAATCAGGAAGAGAAGCCAGATTGGAGCAACCATGCAGGTTCAAGACCATCAAGTTCTCAGCCAGCTGCAACAAAACAAATTAAATATTTGATCGATGACAGAAAAACCCAGTTTATAGAATGAAAGCTTCCATAGATTTCTTTGCAGCCATAGTCTCATAGATAAAATAAATTTTTAGTGATAATCAGCAGCAATGTTGTGTTGATGACAAGCACATATCATTACCTTGTTAGAGTAAGAGCTCCACACCCTTTCGATATTTTTGCTGTCTGAGAGATCAAGTACTGCAAGCTTTTGGGGACAAAAATCAGAAGGAAGAGTTTTCAAAGCACATCCTTGCCATTGAAGCCACTTGAGTTCGTGAGGAAGAAATTTAAATTTTCCTTCCACTTTCACATGATTGATTTGAAGCAGTCTTAGATTAACCATCGATTCAAAGGGTTTTGTGCGGATCACCACCTCTTTCCCTTTCCTATTTATGATGTCCATCACAATACCCTCAATGCTTCTTGTTCCCTATTGTCAATTATGTGCAAAATTAAAAATGCCAAGTTGGAGAGTTTAAAAAAAAAAAAATAGCCATCACAATTATTTTAATTTACTTAATTTTTAATTAAAAAAATAATGAAATTGACATAAATTAATGAAAAATTGTCATTAACGGAAATATTCTGTTAAATATTTTAATTCTATTATTTTTTTGTTCAAAACTTAATAAAATTGAATGTATAATAATAAAATTCAACAAAATTGAAGTATAAGTAATAAAATTCAATATTAAACCAACAATAAAGAAAAAATAATCTTAATCACTAATATCTACCCATATAATCATGAAGATGCATGATGTATATTTGAATCATCACCTCTTTCAATGCGGTTATTCAAATTTGAAAATGTTCCACCTAGTTAAATACCTCTTTGCATGTGTAATGCCTTTGCTCATAAATATTTGCCCAAAAAAGTTTAGATAAATGTGCATGCTGAGATTCATGCCCACAAATTCATAATTAATTTCTATGTCAGGTTTCATAACTAGGACCAACAAATGAAGAAGAGCTTTTATATGGTTAAGGTTCAAATGTGATATCCTACGTAATTAAAAAGATGGGATGTAAAAATGACATATTAAGATACTAGATTTAACATGTGTTTAATATGTATGTATGGATTTTTTTTTTTATGTATAGACACTTGTTTCATGCTTTGAAATGATCATTTTATCCCTTAATCTATAGTAAATAAAGAAAGAGCCCTCACCTATAATGATAAAACCATTAAAATTTTGTAAAAAAAAAAAAAGAAACCAAACAGATAGTTAAACAAAACAAAAAACCCCTGAAAATATATATAACAATTATCACTGAATGAAGCCAAAATTCAAAAGCCCTAAAAGACTTATCATTTACATAGATGTAGAACTCAAGAACCTTAAGACTAACCATACAATCACCTAATCAAAACAATCAAAATACAGATAAAACAAAAATCAATTGAAAAAATATCTTAAATAAAATTCCACTAAAAAGTCCAAAAAATAACAAATTTTTTTTTTAAAAAAATTACCAAATCAGGAAAATTAACATTTTCTCTTAAAAAAAATTATGAAACTTTAGATCTGATTTTTTTTTTTTAATTTAAAATAAGAGTCACAAACCAATACAAACCATTATTAAAAAAAATTTACATCTAAGATTTTTATTAAAAAAAACAATTTGAGATTTTCAATCTCTTTTCTTTCTCTTTGAATCTCCAAAATACCAAGATCGCTAAAAAATGGGATATGATTAATGAGATTTTTAAAACATTTAAATGAGTTTTTTTGGGCTCAATTAAAAAAAAAAAGTATTAAAACTCAAAAGAAAGTTTTGATGGAAGGGAAAGTATGATGTAAAAGGAAGATTTTAGAAAGGAGACAGGAGCATACGATGGTGGGAATGGCAGGATAAATCAAAGATAAGGTTTCTTTTAGAGAGAAGAAAATTGACAACAACAAGGACGAAAACTGAAAAATTAATTAGGATTAGCTTTCTAAATATCAATTTAGGTGTTTAAAACATTGAGTTTAAAAAAATAAATAGATAGAAAGAAATGTTAAAAGAAAAAAGGTGGGTTGAATTTACAAAACCAAGCCCAAAATCATCTCAAGTCAGAATAAAATTGTTTTGAATTCATTAAAGGGTTAACCCATTTAAAATTAAAGAGCATAGCTCATTCATTGTTTTTTTTTCTCTATTTAGTTTTTATTTTTTTGAAAAATTAAGAATATTATAAGATCATTTTTAAAATAAAGATAAATAAGTTTTAAAGAAAAAAAAATTATTATTGGCAACAAAAGAAAATAACATTGTGAATTAAATAATTTTTTAAAAATAAAGAATTATAAAAACAAAATTATTAATTTAATATTAAATGTTCAGTCACATTATAAAATGTAAATATTTAGTAACTAATGAAATGGACATCAAATTATCTATTGCACTTACAAATACATTTATATTATAATATAGTTTATGAACAAATACTTTTAATATATTTAATTTTTATAATTAATAAATATGATTATATTAATCTAATCTAATCTATAATAACATACATAAATAAATTTGTCACATAAGCTCTTATATGGATAACTCTCTTAAATATCACATAAGATAGTTTTTTAAAAAAATAAAATAATTTCTTTTAATTACAAATTAGATAATTTTAAATTTATTTAAATATCAAAATTATTCAAATTATAAATGAAAATCAAATCAATTTAAAAGATATATATTCTAAAATTAAAAATATTAAATATGAAATTTATTTTTTTAATAAATAATTTTACTTGTTTACTAAGTAACCTTATTTAAAAAATTATTTAATTATCAAAATCTTTCAAACATGATTAAAAATTAAAAATATTAAGTTTATCTAAATCTTTTAACAATCTTTTTTATCTTTATTTAAAAAATTATATTTTTAAAAAATTTACGAAAGATATTAAAAATTCAAATAATTTTACGTAAGATTTTCAAAATTCAAAAAATTTTTATTTTAAATCTTTAAATAATAAGATTATCAAAATGATTATATTAATTTGAACTCTAATTATTAAATTTATATTTCAAATAAATGCAAAAAAATTTAATATTATCTTTATTACTTATTATATCCATTTTAAATTTTAAAAAAATTAATTTAAAAATTATCTATTTAATACTAATTATCACTAAAGAATTTTTTTACAATTTTAAGATTATAAATATAATGTGTTATATATCAATTTTTTATTTTTTCAGTAACTTTTTTCTAAAGTATATTCTATGCTATTGCAAATTTTTTTGTTTATAAAATTTTTTAAATATATATTTTATTATTATTATAATTTTATTCTTATGAAAAATAATATTTTTTTTAATTTATTTTTTCACATATTTTCTAACATTTTTTATATTTGTACAATAATTTAGTCAAGATTACTAAAGTGAAAATATGTTAATACTTCTTTTATTATTTAATTTATCATTAAATAATATATACTTTTATTTTTTAAAAAAAGATAATTTATTTTTATTTAATATAATTTTACAAGTATATAAATATTATTGTAACTAAAAATATCCAAAGGAAAGACAAATTTTTTATTGTTTTTAAAATCTTTATTTTTTAATGACAAATCAATATGTATAAATTTTATATATGTTATGAGTTTTAAAGATTTGAATATAATTTTAAAAAGAAGCTAATTTGTGTATATATATATATATATATTCATATTAAATAAATAAAATTATTTCGTGTATCGCACATGTGATAATGTAGTTAGTATATATTAAAATATACAAAAAAAAATTTATCAAAATAAAAAATTTTACTCTCACAATAACACAGATAAAAATAGAAAAACAATACTTTAAACTAAATATCTTTAATTCATTATTACTACTATTATTTATAATATCTTTTGAATAAATATTTATTATTTATTTTTAATTCAAATAAAAAATTTATAAATATTTGCAAAACAAATCCCATAGGAAGTGAGGCAAACATATTATCATATATAAGTAAGAACTCTTTTGGTGTGTTTCTGTCTTATCTTCCCACCGTATATATAAATCCTTGATCTCCTTTTGCCGTTGTAATAGCAAAAGAAAGTTCATACACTCTTCTCTATAAATGGTGGCTGAACTAAAAATAGTTCAAACACCCAATTTTTTTGTTCCATTATTCCCGCAGGATTCGGAACCAAAGTTGTACGAAGCTGAATTAATTTCAACTCTACAACTTTGACCACATTATTATGATTGCTCGGTGGCATATGTTCCTTGATACTATGTTAGATTTGATAGCTAATTAACTTAAAAACTTAGATTAATAGTAATAGGAAATGGCACAATTATTATATTTAACTTCTAAGTTCTTTTCTCAAAAAAAAAAAAAAAAAACTTGTAAGTTCCAACACCTATAAAATTAGTGGGAGGGGGGTTGAATCTTAGACCTTGAAGAAATTTAACTTATAATAAGCTCATGCTTTTTTTTTGCTGCGAAGACCATGCGCTTATATATTATCTTGGAAACTAAAGAATTTGACATCAAACTAGGCACTAGTCGCTGACTTGCTAATGCATGCACGATAAGAAACCAAATGAAAGAGGATGAGGCAAACCTTGTGATTTTTCAAGACAGTCATGATTTCGTTGCGATCCCACAGTCTGCTGCGCATTCCAGGATCTAAAAAGTTCTCATCTTGAACAATTTGTCTTCCCATGTCCCTAAGCTGATCATGCATCCACACACCATCATCCTCAAAGAACTTAATCAAAGATTTTTCTTCCAGAGCTCTTATTGCTGTTTCAGCTTTGAAATCACATCCTTTCAGTACTTCAATTATGTCCTTTCTATTCATTCTCAAATTGACAAACAAGCAGGCTATATCCAGGAATATGCATTGATTTTCTCTATCTAGCCCATCAAAGCTTATCTTTAGCACATCCTGAAGCTCATTAGGACGAACATGTCTCAGCTTCTTCAAAGCGTCTTCCCATTCTATTACCCTCCTCTTATCCAACAAAAACGAACCAAAGACTTCCAGAGCCAAAGGTAAATTCCCAGTGAGAGATATAATTTGCTTGGACAATTCCAGAAACTCTTCTGTCGGTTTCTCTCTTCTAAGTGCATGATAACTGAAAAGTTCTTGTGCCTGGTCAAAATGCAACTCTCTGACCTCGTAAAATTGATTCACATATTGTTCAGTTAAAACTCCTTTATTTCTTGTTGTAACAATGATTCGAATACTTCCATCATTTTGCCATTTGACTCTCGCACCTAGTGCTTTAAGTTGGTTTTCTTCATCAACATCATCCAGGACTATTAGAACCTTTTTCTCATGAATAATCTTTCTGATTGTTGAGGCATTAGCATTAACATCATTTGCAGAAAGCACAACATGATTGGAAAGGTCACCAATAAGTTTGTGTTGGAGGAATACTAAACCATCTTCTTGTTTTGACAGTTCTTTAACATTTGAGATGAAGCTTCGGAGCTCAAAGTGTCCGAAGATCTTATTATAGATGGCCTTAGCAAGGGTTGTCTTACCAATCCCGCCCATCCCATGAAGGCCCAGAACCCTAATGCCCTTTGATTTGACGTCTAACAAATTTATTAACTCTGTCACCCGCGTATCCAGTCCAACTGCATGGCTGGCTACTTTCACTGGTGTATTATTCACTTCTCTGAGAACGTCTCTCAGAACACCCCGAATCAGTTGCTTTTCATCACTGCCAACAAACACGATTGCACCAAATAAAATGAGAAGAAAAAAAGAATATGCTCAATAATCAATAGCTATATCAAATCCTTACCAATTCAATGAAAACTTGCATGTGAAAACTTTGATCCCAAGGAGCCTGGAGGACTATAGATCAATTATTATTAATGAACCTTGTTCATCCGCTATTCTAGAGGCTGGTGGAACTTCTATCAGGTTCTGTGAAAATTAATGTAGATACTTCCATGTTCGCAGGCTTAGATAATGTTGGCTAGAGACCATGAAGGTAATATTTTTGGTTAGTGCTACAACACCTGTACCACATATATATTGATGGCCCTTTACATTTTGAAGTGAGAGCTATTATTGTTGAAGGGGATTCTCTTACCACTATTGGGGAGATTAATGGTGAGATTTGTTTGTGGGATTGGGGTATAATGATTGACGATATTTAATTAAGATTCAAGCTCTTGATTTTTTAGATTCTTCTTTCCATTTTTATCGCTTATTTGCTACTAGCTAGGCAAGAGTGTGATTTGCATTGTCAGTTAATGCGACTGGATTCACTTTGGGGTTTTGATTTGAACTCTAATATAATTTAAACTGTTTGGGTTTTTATATATGCCAATACATATGTCTACAAGCTTTCTTATGCTATATACATTGTGAGTTGCAAAATAGTGTGTTATAAAAAAAAGTTAATTTTAAATATATTTTTAGAATTAAGTATATTTGCTTTTAAAGATTTTAAAATTTGAAAATTAATTTTTTATAAAATGTTATTATATGGTTCACTTACCATATGTAATATTTATATATTGAAAGTACATCAAATACATATAAACTCAATATTATTGTTTTTAATTTTATATTTCAAGCAAAAATACTCAAAAAACTTTAAAATACTTTCTATTTAATTAAAATTTTGTTCAAATATAAACCATTAAAATTCATTATTTTTCACATTAGTGTCTAAATGACACACTTACAGTTACAATTAAAACAGTTCCCTTCTTATAATGAAGGAATAAATATTTTTTTCTTAAAAAATAATTTTATGGGTAATTTTGGAATTGGGTTTTTGTTATATATTAAAAGCATCTTAGAGAGATTTAATAAATTAAGTAAACGGAGAGAGAGATACGAGAAACTTTTGGAGAGTTGACTGAAAGAACAGAAAAAAAAAAAGGAAAGGAGAAAGAGGAAAAGGAAAAGAAGAGAAAGATAAATATAAAACCGATGCTTCTGGTTCCTCCCGGAAAAAAAATGAAAAGTGAAATAAAAGAGTAAGAGAAAAGGGGTAATGCTGCGGCAATAGAGTCTAGATCGATCCTTCGCCTTTTACTTGATGTAAGGTTTAATCTCTTCCTCTGTCTTTTATCCTCTTTAAACCTTTGTTTAGTTAGTGAGAAAATTTAAAAAAAAAAAACAAAAAAACAAAATCTTTTTGTCAATCTTTTTTTTTTTTATAAATATATTTGCTTATTTTCTATTAAAATTTTTAATTGGAGATCTAATAGTAAATTGCTAAACAATATGTTTTATTTATATGAGTAAAAACTTTTTTGTTTTTTGTTTTTTTATTTATTTATTTAGCAACTGAATGGTGGAAAGTTATTGTTTTGGTAGTAGAGATGATAGGTAGGAAAAGTAGAAGGTGACAACTCTAAATATAGAGTTATTTTCAATACTTAAATGAGTTATTTTTGCTTAGTTCTTAGTGAAATAATGTTCAATTTACTCCTAAAGTATTCAATTCTCTGTTTTGTAGGAAATCTTGAAAGAAATATTGAATCTTGTTGAATCTTTAAGAAACTTGATGGTTCTTGATCAATTCTTGATGATTCTTGATACATTGGAATGAATTTTGGACTATTTTTGGTAAGTTTTTAAAGTGCTTAGAATTCTTGGAAATCTTGAAGTGAAAAGTGTGCAAGATTTGTTTTGCTAAACCTAGAAGAGTTAGAATTGTTCACTCTTGGTGAAAAATTCAGAGAGTTTATACAAGAAAGAAGCAAGACATGTTCGGCTATGGTGAATGTCAGATTTGTAGATTCAAGTTGAATGCAAGTCCATGGTAGCTTATGTAGTGCGTAATATATGGGATTACTAGTGGATGACATGGTAGCAATTCCTTTCTTACTGGCCAAGAGAGATAACTTGGAGGCTTTTGTGGCATATTGACTTGGCAAATCTGTCCACATTGAAAAAGATCAAATATTCTTTGGTATTCCTTCTTTGAATTAGAATTCCTATCTTTATTAGGATTACACTTATTCCTAATTAGAGTAGGATTTGCGTGAATATATAAAGGTAGAATGAAGATGGGGCAGCATAACAGATTTTTAATGAGGATTTGAAGAGTCCTAATTGAAGGAAAAATGCTCTAAGAAGCTCAAGCCGCACCATGCAAGAAGAGTTTCATGATCATGCAATTTGAAGACTTTCTAGAAGGTTTACAAGACCTTAAAACTGAACTAGATTCTGTTCTTTAAAGATTTTGAAATTTCTTTCTTTTCTACTCTTCTAGAAGTTGCTACACATCAAGAAAAGAAAGAGCCAGTAGATACTTACCAAATAGAAGCCAAGATTCAGTCTCAAAGAGGTCTTTTAAAGAGTGCCACTTACATTCAAGCAAGATTCACTTTAAGGACTCTTTCATTCAAGAAATTCATTATCTTCAAATCAAGAGGTTTGCTACTTTAGAAGTTCAAATTGGCCGAACCAACCCTGAAATTCCTTGTCTATAAATAGCTAGCTTAGGGTTTAAGAAAGAGCATGGTTGGGGTGACAAACCAATCTCCATAGCTTTCTTCTTCTTCTTCTTCTTCTTCTTCTTCTTCTTCTTCTTCTTTTCTGTTAAGCTTTTATGTTCTTTAAATTTCTGCTTCTTTTAATTTCAGTTTATGCAAAGTTTCTTTCAAGTATTTGATTCAATCAAGTTCTGTTTTAAGCATCTTTCAGTTCAGTTTTAGTGGATCGATTTAATTAGCTGCTGGCTTAAGTTCTTGATGTTATTTGAGGATTTACTAGTTTTGGTTAATTCAATCTTAATTCTTGGAGTTTTAAGTGCACCTTTGCTTTTTTTCCTTAGTTATTGTGATTCATATTCTGTTTTCATATTAATTTCATAATTGCATGTTTCATTCATTCTAGTGCATTCAGTTATTGCTCTTAAGTTTGGTATTCATTTCAATTATTGCATCTTTACATAAACCGCATGTTCAATTGCATGATAATCTCGAGTTGCATGCTTTAATCCTTTATAACAGGTTTGGTTATCATACCTTAGATTGATTTCGAATTGATTTATTGCATCTTAGATCTTGTTGCATGTTTGTAGAATAATTTAATTTAATAACAGTTTACTTGCATGTTTTAATAGTTGATTAGGGTTAAACTTGTTTGAATTACCTGCTGTTTAGAATACTTAGTATCAATTCGATTCAATTAGGTTTGATATTAATTCACGTTATCGCATTCTTGCATAATTTGCATGTTTTAGGTTAAAGTAGTCTCATAACAGTTTAAGTGCATGCGTTGAGGGTTAATTATGGTTAGTTGCTTGCTGATAAGATTCAATATATATCAATTCAATTAATTTGAAGTTAGTAAGTTAAGTTCTTTAGTTTTGCATGTTGTCTATTCTTATTTGCATACAATTGAGTTTAATTAGTTTAAATATCATTCAGTTTCTGTTTACTTGGTTAATATTGCATTTGGTTTTTGTTAATTTTGCTGGTTCTGCATCCTAAATTGTTCACTTGGTTGCTACATTGGTTTATTAGTCACAATTAGCTACTGGTTTTCAATTTAATCATACAATTGCATCATAAGTTGTTGAGTATTGCATGTTTAGCATAGTTACTTGTTTAAATCATTCTTACACAATCAGATTCAATTACATCTTGTCTCTTGCATACAGTTTAGTTAGATTTTGCATTAATTGATTTCGGTTTGGTTCATTCAAAATTAGTTCGATTTCGACTCAAGTTTAATTTATTGATCAACTTTGATTTAAGCTAATTTAGACATAGGAAAAATCATGTTTAGGGTGACAGTCCAACCTGAAGTAGTTTAGCTTTTTTAAGTTTTCTTATTCTTTACTTTTTGTATTTTTAAGTTTTCTTTTAAGTTATTTTAAGTTTATGCAAAATTCAATTTCAGTATTCTTTTAAATTCAAGTTTTGTTTTGTTTTGTTTTGTTTTTAATTTAATCATTCTTAAATTTCTATTCTTACTCGCAATTTAATTCAATTTGCGCTCTCTCTTTTAAGTGTTTTAATGCAATTTGTGCTCTTTAAGCTATGTTCTTGATATAATCAAGGATGAAAATTTTCAATACTTAATTTTCTTTCATATATTTCAATCTCTGTGGAAACAATACTTTACTAATTTAATATTATTTATTCCGATTCTGTGCACTTGCAGATTTTCAATCATGTATAGAATTTCCAACTTTGAAGATTATATTAATTTATTATAATAATAATGATTTTGCTACCAAAACAAAAATTATATACATAAATAAAGAAAAAATGTGGGGAGAATATTATTTCAGTTCCTTATAGAGAATATTTGAAAGAGTACAAACTTAGTACGTAAAAATCATTCTTATTTGATGGGAAGCAAGTTTTTTACGCACACATTAAAAAGGGAAAAATTGTCTATAATTGATTTTATATATATATATATATATAAAATCACTCTTGTGGATAAATAAATTAAATATTGATCACTCTTTTGGATAAAAATTAAATTATTTATATATATATATATAATCACTCTTGTGGATAAATAAATTAAATATTGATCACTCTTTTGGATAAAAATTAAATTACCCCTTAAGCTAATGATTTAATCACTCTTGATAGTTTAAGATTTAAATCACCAATTCCCTCATTTCAAAAAAAAAAAAAAAATCACCTATTCCTTACCAAGCACAATCATCTAATCAATATTGAGTACAAATATTTATCCCCATGAATTTTGGGATGATTATTATATACCAAATATCAAGTAGTTTAAGCATCATCTAATAAGACTAATAATTACACTAGTTAAATTATATATATATTATATAATTAACTCCATTTGTGTGTTACCATACTATCGGTCTCAAGCTCGAGTAAAACGAGGTGGGTTGCGATGGGTTGACAGCCAATGTAAAACATACTCAAACCATAATGAGAGTAAGACAAGAATTTTCATTGGGCCATCCCCTCCTAGCGGGACGCTAGATTGGAGCCCAAGTGTAGTGTTAAATGGGCAAGGGTTGTTAGGTCATTGCCTCGAGGCAATGCGCCACATCGTCACCCAGGTGTGGTGTTAAATAAGCAAGGGTTCTCGTGTTTTAATGGACGATCACAAGTAAAGAAGCTAGTCCATAAGAGTAAGTTACATCTAGCTACTTGGAATATACGATCGTTAACTGGTAAGCTAGTACAGATATAAGAGGTAATGATGAGAGAAATTAATATTATGTGTCTCCAAAAAACTAAGTAGGTAGGGGAAACAGCTAAAGAGACAAAAACATATGGCTCTAAGTTTTGGTTCACATGTAAGGAAAAGAGTAGAAATGAAGTAGGGATAATTGTAGATAAGATTTTGAAGTATGATGTGGTTGAGGTGAAAAGAAAAAGAGATAGAATTCTACTCGTTAATCTTACATTAGGAGATGAAATTGTTAATGTCATTAGCCCCTATGCCTCACAAATAGGTTTGGACCAAGCGAGTAAGCAAAAATTTTGGGAAGAATTAAAGGAAGAGTAATGGGTCAAACACTAGTCAAATTGATTTCTTTTTTACAAGTGAGGAGGATAAAAGTAGTTGTAAGGATTGCAAGGTTATACGAAGTGAGAGTGTGACCACACAACATAGATTGCTAGTCCTAGATATCGTCCACCTTCGAGGATTACAAAGGATACATCATAGTAATGAACCATGAATTAAGTGGTGGAACTTGAAAGGGGACAAGCTACCAGCTTTTAGGGATAAAGTAGTAAAAGAAGTTGTTTAGAAGGCTGATGAAGATATAGAGGTAACGTGGGAAAATATTTCTACCAAAATTCAAAGCGTTGCAAAATAGACACTTGGCGAATTTAGGGGTCGTGCACCATTAGGAAAGGAATGGTGGTGGTAGAATGATGAAGCGAAAATGGCAATTAAAGCAAAAAGGGAGTCTTATAGTAATTTAAGAAACAATAAGGACAAAGCAAATTATATGAAGTATAAGACAGCAAAACAAAATGCTAAAAAGGCAAATAAAGATTCAAAGACTAGGATTCATGAGGAATTATACAATAAACTAGAGAAAAGAGATGAAGAAAAATAGTTGTTTAGAATTACTAGGATGAGGGATAAGAAAAGTAGGGATCTTATTGGCATAAAATGCATCAAACACAGAGACGAAAAAGTCCTAGCAAAGGATGAGGAGATTAAGAGGAGATGGTGAGGCTATTTTGATAATCTCTTTAAAGGCAACTTTAAGCATGATATAGGTGAGCTTAACATACATTCTAAGGATATCAATAGGGTGTTTAAACGGAATATTAAAAGGTACAAGGTTAAAGAAGCTTTGAGAATGATGAAAGTAAAGAAAGTTCAAGGAACAGATGGAATACCAATTGAAGTTTGGAAATCTCTAGGTGAAATAAGGATAGGATGGTCAATAGATCTTTTCAACAAAATTTGGCATACTCAAAAGATGCCAAGAGAATGGAGGAAGAGTACCTTAGTACCTATATATAAGAATAAAGGTAATATATAAAATTGTTCGAACTATTGAGGAATAAAGTTTATGAGTCATACTATGAAACTTTGGGAGAGAGTAATTGAATGTAGGTTGAAACATGAAGTCATTATTTTTGAAAACCAATTGAGTTTATGCTGAGACGCGCTATAACAGAGGCAATTCACTTATTGAGACTTCTATTGGAGAGTTTTTGGACGAAAAAGAAAGATCTACATATGACATTTGTTGAATTGGAAAAAGCATATGATAGAGTTCCCTAAAAGGTGCTTTGTTGGGCCTCAATGAAGAAAGGAGTTGCTTTAAAAGACATTAACATAGTAAAAGATATGTATGAAGGTGTCATAATGAATGTGAGGACAATTGGTGGGGGTAACTGATAGCTTTCCCACTACTTTAGGATTGCATTAACCTCAACACTAAATCTATTTCTTTTTGCGTTAGTTATGGATGAGCTCACTTAGCATATCTAAGACAAAGTGCCATGGTGTATGCTATTTACGGATGATATAGTTTTAGTTGCTCAAATTAGTGTAATCTTAATGCGAAATTAGAATTATGGAAACATACACTAGAGTCTTGAGGCTTTAAATTGAGTAGAACTAAAACTGAATATATAAAATGTAAGTTTAGTAATTATATAAAAGTAAGTGGTAGTGTAATTAAGTTGGATGGTGAGGTAGTACCAAAGAGTAACCATTTTTTATTATTTGAGATCAATTATTTAAAGCGATGCTGAGATAGAAAGGAATGTAAATCATAGGATTCAAGCAGGATGGGTAAGGTGGCGAAGTGTATTAAATGTATTGTATGATTATAACATGCCTTTAAAGTTAAAGGTGAAGTTGTATAAAACAACTGTAAGGCATGCGTTGTTATATAGAACTGAGAGTTAGGCTGTAAAGAAACAACATGAAAAGAAAATGAGCGTAATTGAGATGAAAATGCTTAGATAGATGTGTGGTAAAACTAGAAGAGACAAAATAAAAGACGAAGAGATTTGAACAAAAATTAAAGGTAGTCCAAATTAAGGAAAAGATGAGGGAAAGCTATTTGAAATGGTTTGACCATGGAAAACATAGACATATCTATGTACCAATTAGGAGATATGAGCTTTTAGATTTAAGAGAGAGCAAAACTTCTAGGGGTAGAACATGAAAGATGTGGATACAAATAATCAAAAATGATATAAACGTCAAGGAAGTAGTTGAAAAAGTTGTTGTGGATAGAAATGAGTGGCACAAGAAGATTAGAAACTAGAACCTAACACAATTTTTCTTTGATCTTTTATACAACCGATTCTAAAGTTATGGGTTATAATGCTTAGTTTGTTGTTTATATATATATATATATATATATATATGTATGTATACACACATTAAAGTTTCATTTGAATCGAATAGTGCGATGTGAAATATTATTGATTTTAATGTGGTTTGTTTAATTTAAAATTAAATTAATAATTTAAAATATTTATAAAGATATTATATTATTCACTACTTTAATTTTTGGATTTTGTACTTTAACAAATATAGAAGAAAGATGGATCGATAAAAATTAGATTAGATACCATGAAATTCTTTTGATGTTTCTTCGCTTATGGACATTATTTAAAAGAAATTGAATTAAAAATATCACAATTTAATTTAATTTTTCAAATTTTTTATAATCTTTAAAAAAAGATTAAGATTATATAAGAAAGAATCAAACTTTTTGTTTTTTATATACTAGTATATTTAATAATATATAAATATATGAAGAAGTAGGATTAATTTAATTAATGGTTAAATTTCCTCTAGGGTTTTCAAGATGCAAGGTTCTTATTATGAGAGAAGCCTCTCAACCTCGTCGACTGCTGCAAAGATTTAGTTATGAATAAGCACCCCTTTCATTTCATGCCCTATATTTTTCAATTTTGTTCTGTTTTACTTTTTAAAAAAATGATAATAATTAAAGATTAATACTACTAATAGAAACAAAAATAATTAAGAATTGACGGCAAAGATTTTAAGAATATTAAACAAAAATAGCAAACCAAACAGTCGTGGGTGTGCTTAAAGAACTCCTACATCCATGGAGTAGTAGATCTAATAATTTTTTAAAATCACATAGTAACACGATATAAGAAAATAATATTATTTAAAATTTTAGTAAAAATTTTATATAAATTTAATAAAAATAAAAAAATATATATTTCGTATTTGATATATTAATACGAATTATGATAAGATATTTTTTTATATTTTTTATATATTTGACATAAATTAAAATCAATTCAAATATTCAAATTACTAAATTTAATGCAGAGGCAACACTCAAAAGTTTTTTTTCTTTTTTTTTTTTTTGGGTTTCAAAGGAGAGTAACGCCCTATTACATGAAAAAAGGGAGGGGGAGGCTTGGTTCGAACCTAAACACTAATGTCTTCCTTAATGCTTCTGTGGCCACTAGGCCAAGAAGCAGAAGACACATTTAAAAGTTTTAAACAGACAGAACTGATGTTAGAAAAAAATAGAACTTGAAGAAACAGTCGTGATGAAGACGGTTAATTTATTTAGAATTAAATTACTACAACTAGGCATACTGAATTAAAGTATATTATATATTAAATTACTGCAGTGATACCAAGTAGGATTAATAGAATAAACAAAATTCATCTGCCTTTTAATTATAAAGTATTATAGCAATATAATAAGGGGGGAAAAAAAAAAACTAAGCACTCTACTTCCACTAATGTTAACTTTCAACTCGGTTTCAGTCAAACTTCCAGGCAGCCATAGCAATAATTACACTGCAACAAACAAAGGCTTTATCGACGAAACTTTCCGGTCGGTAAAGTCCTTAAATGCTGTTGATATTAGGCATTATGGATGAAATTTTTAACAGTAATTTTCGGTTCCGCTGCTGAAAATAGTTTGCCTTTTTTCTTTTTCACAGTTTAAGACTAGGCTTAATTCTCCGATCAGTGTATCTCTGTTTTAATGCAAAGAACATGGCATATAAATTTATATTCAGCAGGCTTCCTTTCAATCACCAATATTTAGTTACATCCGCAAAGCTTAAACGGATCAACCATCTTCATATGATTTAATTAGTAATTCAACCATATTGAATAGTGAATTGTGAAGAGAAATTCAATAAAGAGAATTGAAGTAGGGAATTAAAAGGCATAACCTTTTGTTGGTGAAAACGAAACCAGCTGTACCGCCGACTTTCTCCATGGCTATCCTCCATTTCATCACCACGTCCTTTCCAAACCTGTTTTCATGGCTACAAAAGGCCTCCTCAAAAGGTCCTCTCTGTCTTCGAACATGAGAGGGGTCAACCCCATAGAAGACGGGCAGAATCAGTCTCCGTAACTGGCATATCCTGGCCAGTTCTTCAAGGCACCAATGGGAGGAAGCATAGTTTTGAGAGAGAATAACAACGGAAGCAGCCGAGTCTTCAATGGCTTCCAGCAGTCTTGGAGAGATCTCGTCTCCACGGTTCAACCCATCGTCGTCTCGAAAGACTCGGACACCTTTTTCCACAAGCGAGCTGTACAGTTTCTGCGTTATTCCGTGACGGGTATCTTCCCCTCTGAAACTGAGGAACACGTCCCATCGGAGCCTTAAGGACGCCGGAGTTGTTGAAACTGCTCCGTCGTTCACCATTTTTTATTCCTTTCTCTCCTTAACTTTTTTAATTCCCCCTTTATCTCTTTCTGTCTCAAAGCCAGGTATTTCATTTGCCTTCCTTGCAATAAAGACTACTATATATCAAAAAGGAAGTGGTTAGATTCCTTGAACCATCATTTTCAGTCAGTCCTTGCGTGTTCAGAAGGACAAGGTCCATGAAAAAGGACAAAAGTATATTAGTAGAAACTACGTATTTTGGTTCTTGTACTCTGTCTCTTTGTATTTCAAAAGAATTAATTAGGTATTCTTTGACAAACCGTATAGTCATGATTGAAACAGTTCGTGCCCATCCTGTGAATGTTTTTGTCCTTCTAGTCCGGATTAAGATTAACAGTTGAGTGCAACATGGTGCGGGCAAGGGTTCTGGTGCTCCAATTATGATAGCTAGCTTCTAGTTATTCTGACTTTAAGGAAAATGGTTCTCTTTTTTTTACTTGAGCTTTATCAGCTTTATTCGGTACCATGTATATTTGTCAATTCGTGTTCTTGCATAATGTTTTGTGTTATGATACGTATAATGATGTAAATTATTAAAATATAATTATGATATAAATTATAAAATATATTTAAATATTAATTATAAACATAATATATTTAATTTAATTTACGTATTTTATGTGATACGATATAATTAATATATATAATTTATTTATTTATATAATATAAATAAACACAAATAATATGAACATATATGAATAAATATGATTAATATGAATATATACGAATAAATATAATTAACGTAAATATATATAAAAACATGAGTAAAATAATAAATAACTACATTTATAACTTAATATATTTAGCATATTAATAATATAAAAAAGTACTTATATATTAAAAAATAAAAAATTTTAATACTCATTTAATAAATATTTAATATATATATTTATATTTATATTACATAATTATATTAATTTTTATTATCAAATTCAAAATGATGAACTATTAAAAATTAAAGAATAAAATAATAATGTATAGACATAATATTAATATTAATATTGTATTTATATTATTAATATAAAATAATTTTATAATAATTATTAAATGAGTGTTATAATTAAATATTTAAAATAATTTTTATATGATATTAAATAGCTTATTAATTATCATAATTAAAAGATTAAAAATTAAAGTAATCTTTATATGTTTATATTAAATTAAATAAATATAAAAAATGTATTAAACATGTTAAACATATTAAACGTATACTTGTATAATAAGATTAAATTAAACGTGTTATTCGTATCGTGTCCCGTGTTTATACGAGTCAACACATATACGACATAAATTATATCGTGTTGAAATTTATATCGACACAAATAAACTAAACACATTTTTTTAAAATACATATATGATTCTTTTCATATCGTTTTTGTATCATATTATCGTGTTATGTCTGAAATTACCATGTTTAGTACTAAGTTGGAAAAAAAGTGAAAATAAAAACTTTGTTAATTTAGCTGCCAAATTATAAAATAAAAAGGTGATTATAAATTTTAATAATTAAATTAAAAAAAATATTTTTTCAAACATTCTTATTAAGCAAAGCCTTATATTGTATTCACAAGACAATCAATTGTTTTCCAAATCAAAGGAGGCCTATAGAGAAACCAACCATGTGAAATGGGTGTACGTGATGAATTGTTGAAATCTATATTATTAATTTTACTCATTTTGACTAAAATTTGATCACTCCTTAATTCATCTATGTGAGGAGTTCATCTACGTGATAACCTTCTAATGATTTCATTTTTTTTCCTTTTTTTCTTGTACAACTATAAAAACTCCAAATTTTTTGTTCATTTTTTCTCTCTTTTCGCTCTATAAACTTTTAACTTTCTTACTCTTTCTACAAAAAAAAAAGTTAAATACTCAATTAAAGATTTAACATTTAGCAATTTTCTCAATTAATGATATCAATTTTAATTTGGATCAATATAAGACTAAATGTTTTGAAATTGGTTCAAATAAGAATTTGGTTACGATAGTCTAAGTCACACGTGTTGAAATAGTACGAGTAGGAAAATAGAAATAAATTGTACTTTTCTTCAAAATTTTCACCAATGGAATAAATTTTAAAATTTGTAATTGAAATAGTATAACAAAGATCTTTTAAATGAATTCATAATTGGGTTTTAAGTTTTTATTTTTAATCTTAATCTTTAAACTCTTAAATGACACCATGAATCATGTTTATTTTCCTAGTTGTATTAGGCCTAACAGGATTGGTGAACCAGTGGATTGATAGCTATTACTTTATTGGTTGATGCATGAGGAAGATTATATTCATTTCTTTAAATTAGAAAATTAGTTATTGCACTACCCATTTTTCATTTTTCCTAGGTAAGTGTTTTGGAGGGAGGGGGAACTAGTTGTTTGTGCAAATAAAGTGGAACAATTTAAAAAATAGTTTTCCTTTGGATGCTTTTTAATGGAATAGAGTCACTATTGCTTGTCATCAACCTTGCTTGGTTTGAAATTTACATATCTTTTTGTTTATTTACTTCTTTAACATTGTAATCTTAAACTAGCTTTTAGTAGGAAGGCTGTTCATTTACATTGGAGTTCTTGAAATATTAAAAAAAGGCTCAAAACTTTAACCTGTAAGTAGTTTACTTCCCTATCTTATGGTGAAGCTTTTAGGCTTATCTAGCTTCAAACTTTCAGCTTTAGTGCTATTGGAAAGTTGAAAGACCTTTTATTTGGATGTAATTTAAATGATTATGTCATGCATATTTTTTAAACTTATGTAGGTGGCTGAACTCATAGAGAAGGATCTTGTTTTAATTGGTGCAACTGTGAAAGAAGACAAGCTTCAAGGAGTGCCAAATTGCATTGAAACTCTTTCTAGGGCTAGAATTAAGATTTGGGTGCTAACAGGGGAAAAGATGGAAATTGCAATTAATATAGCTTATAGTAAGTATTTAATGGGAGTGTACACATAAATTTCATGTTGAAAATATGACAAAGAAAATTGGAAGCAAATAATAAATTTATTTATCAAACTTATGGAAATTATAATCTCTAAAAAATTCTTATTACAAAGAAAATCCTCTGATTCTTTTCTTTAGCAAAAATCCACTTCAAGGCTCAAGCAAACTTTTTCTTGAATGCCTTACGGGTTGTCATGACTTGTTTTTGAACGCTTCAAGGGTCATGTTGACTTGATTTTGAATAAACATAATTGATCTCCTTCCTTTAGAGGGAATGAGATCGAAGATGACAATTCTTAGAACTCAAATGATTTATTCTTCGAGTTCTTCAAAATTCTTCAATTTTTAGAGCTTGCTTTGTTGAGAATTTGGAGAGATTTTAGGTTTTTAAAATCTTATTTTTCTCTTTAAAATTGTGAATTATGATTAGGAGAAGCACTATATTGATAGTGCTAGCTTGCCATATGAAAAAAAAAGAGTTTTAAAAGAACTTAACTTCTTTGATTTTATCTTCAAACAACTGTATCATAATGTATAGATCCTAGAACCTACCCATTAATAAACACAACACATAGAGTAGCCACCAATCTTTTTTAACTATGTATAATTAGCCACCTATATGAATCTATCCTTTTTAAGGAAATCCTAAGCTTGACTAAGGATTTTTAAAAAAAATAGGTTTTGGTCTTTTCAACAGAACTTGGTTCGGAAGTCTGATTACGTATAAAAAAGTTATAAAACCTTCACAATTCCCACAAATTGACACCAATTAATCTTAAATTATCTTTTTAGTCTTAATTAACATGGTCTCTTATTCCTAATTCATTTTTATTAATTTATTGTTTCTGTTAATTTAAATATTTAAATATTGAACATATTTTTAAATTTTTTCCAACACTTTGGTCGACTCTCTAAAAATATTTCTTACCTTGAGAGTATTAAAATAAAACACTTATTTTCTTAAAGAGACTTTATCGTCAGATTTATTAAGTATTTTATGAAATTTAATACATAGTAAAATACACAATCAAATTCATAATAATAAAATACAATAATCAAAATACCAAATTCAATACATGTGATCACAATTTAATCAATCATAAAATTATCACAATTTATTCTCAATTTTACTTTTTTTAAATTAGAAATAAATAAAATTTCTCACATTGAGATAACTTTTCAAATCCTCCAACGTTTTAATCGAATTTATAAATAATCCTCTCACCTAAAAATTTTTAAGAAAACTACACGCCTGTAACTTTCTTAAAATTTCATCATTGGAAAAAATTTTATTAATCCCTAATTATTTTATTTCATTTAACAAATTAATTAAACAAATACATACATAACAATAAATAAATAATTAAAAAATAAATAATCATAAAATAAATAATAAATAACTAAATAAATAACCAAAAATTAACAATTAAAAATTTAAAATGAAAAATTAACAAAAAGGGAAATTATGCAAAAATATAATAAAGCATGCAAATTTATGCATAATGTAAAGCAATTATATATTCATGCAAATAATATTATAATCAAACATGTAATAATAACATGAAAATAATTCATGCAAATAAATCACACCATAATGCAAAAAAATCAAGCACTAACTTCAAAATTAATATAAAGAGAAAAACAAAATAAATAATAAGAAAATAAGAAAATAAGAAAAAAATTATAAATACTGAATGGGTTGGGTCAGTTGTACGTAGGTTATTTATGTTTCTCTTTCTAGTACCAAAACAGCACTGATTCCAACATCAAATAAAAAAATCAACAGCTTCTTCTTGTTGTTCTCCAATATTCTCTTTAGCTCTTCTCTGAGTTTCAAACTTTTTTAGACAAAACCAAAAGCCGATTAAACACCAAGCTAGATCTCAGTAGCTTGTTGCCGTCACCACTACTACTGGCCACTGTGCCTATGCCAGAAGCCTATCAATTTGTGTATCTCTTCCAACCCCTTTTTCTTTTTTGGTTTCAGTCAATAACCAATAAACTGAGTGAAGATTGCCATTTTTTTTGCCACATTCTGCTACCATAATCGATGTAGGAGACCATAGAAAACTTTCTTTTTTCTCCTCTCTAGCCAGCCTATAATTTAGAGCCCCACAAATCTTCAAAAGTTTTCTAAATCGAAACCCACAAAATCTTTCGCAACACTTTCTTGCAAAAATTATTTTTCTTTGTAATTGTTTTTGTGAATATCTTATTGATTTCTTCGTTTTTGCTTATGAGTTATGTTGGTTGGGTTTATAAGATGGGTTATTATTTTTGCCTATGTCTTATGTGGACGA